TGGGAATAGTATTTTTGTGAGTTTCCTCAACTCATTACTATATTAATACCACTATGTAGACTCTGTTGGATCAATGATCAACAGTTTTGAATTTACATAAAGATCGTAATTTTAATTGTATTGTATAATAATTAACATATGAATTGCTGATTGTTATACACATAGATCTTACACAAGCTATATCTTTGAAATTATCTATAATGAATGCGCTATTAAATGTTTTAAACGCTATTAAATAACGTTTTCGAAATGCCAGAGAAAAGAATAATTAGATTGAGGTCGGGTAGTGTTGAGTAACGGGCGCGTAGCTGTTCAGTGGTAGAAAGCGTCGTAGTGGTACGCATGTTCAAACGTACATCACTCAAACCAAGTCTTCCCTCTATGTTGAGTCATTCGGTATTAGGTTAATGTCGAAGGATAAGCAGTATTCGTAATGACTGATTAACTGAAGTATCGTGTCTAATCATCTGCACGATATCGGAAGCTTCGTTTGTTCCCTTCACTATGTGCATGGTGAGCTTTTGCACTTTTTCGCGCTGCTCATTTGCTTATGTTGAGTTCTGGGGCTGCGTGTTTAATTATACTATGTATGTATACTGTATTGTAGTTATTTTCTTTTCATGATCTCATAATTTTAAACATTAAATCAAACTGAAAAATTTTATACCAAATAGTCAAGAATGAAGGTCTGCAGTTCCAACATTTTTTTCGAAGTGATTATTCTTGTTGCTGTTTTTGTTGAGATTTTAGTAGACTTTTTAGACGTACATCGGACCTGTATTGATTTCTGTGAATCCGTTTAAACAAATGCCGTATTTCACAGAGAAAGATATGGACCAGTATCAAGGAGCTGCACAATATGAGAATCCTCCTCATATTTTTGCTTTAGCAGACAACATGTACAGGTGGAATTCCCTAATCTACTTTTTTTTTTCCTATGAATCTGATCTTAAAATGATGAAGTCACACAATCCGTCAGAGATTGATGGTTTTATTTTTTATAAGACTTGAGCTCATCACTCTTCATTAAGTCAAGTGCTATATTCAGCTCTCTTTGATACCAATTTACTGGCTAGGAATAGTGAGCTTAGTAGGCTTTAGGGCGACCGTGAACTTGGGACCGTATCTCACTGGGACACTTCCACAACTGCACTATTTTTGCTTACGGTTTCCTTTTTTTTAAGATATGTCAAGCATCAATGCGTTATTTTTGGGACATTAAAGGTCGTAGTGTATATAGTTATCGTCCACCTGTTCATGGGCTTTATAGATCTTAACAATCCGAAGAGTTATTGACGAGTGTATTGTTTGTAAATATATTGTTCTTTTCGTATGTCTCAGATAAAGTTGCTAAGACCAGGCTTATTGCCAAGCTTTTTTGTTCCGATGTTATTTGATTGTTTTGTTGTTTGTCAGAGGGAATTGAAAAGAAAAACTCTGATAACGCGTAACTAACTATAACTAACTAACTTTAATTATAAAAGCTGAGAAAATTCTGTAAAATTTTCATTCTTGTAAAGGTTTAGGAAAACAGCACTAAGAAATAGTAAAAAAAATAATTAATATGGCATAGAAATTCAGGAATATGCTAATTGACAACGAATCTCAATGTGTGATCATCAGCGGGGAAAGTGGTGCTGGAAAGACGGTGTCCGCAAAATATATAATGAGTTACATTTCACGGATTTCTGGTGGAGGTGCAAAAGTGCAGGTACTTTGAATTATCGATTATAATGTTAAATGCTTAGATCATAACGTTTATCATTCAATTTTTACCATTATCACTATTTCTTCTAATTTGATCTATTCGTCTCGTAAATGAGTCATCACGTCATTATCATGTAGAAATTAATGGTGCTAGTATAATTTTTGAATTCCGATTAGTCCCACAGCTAATCATTTTGTAATATTGTTCAATGTTTAGCACGTGAAAGACGTAATCTTACAATCGAATCCACTTCTGGAGGCATTCGGTAACAGTGCTACTATTCGTAACTGGAACTCATCTCGCTTCGGAAAATATGTACAGATTGTTTTTGGACGAGGAGGTGAACCAATCGGTGGAAAAGTGAGTTTGCCAATCCGTTGACAAGAGATTTGTCAGAAAATCTTTTCTTTAGTATCATTTTGTCTATAATAACCTTTCATGATTGAATTCCTATAGACGTCCTGTTTTGTATAACATTTCGAAATAATTATTAGTATTTTATTGCTTTTGTAATAATTATAAGTCATGGCTTCTACGAAATTTGTTGAGGATTAGTTCAAATTGTGAATAGAATAAATGATGTATGCAGAATTTTCTTGGCATCATTTTAATTAAAACAATCAATTCGCGTCCTGCATTTATCTTTGAAATGTTTTTATTTTCACTGTAACAGTTAAACTCCTTTATCGATTCCCTACAACATAATTCATCATTAGTGGTGGATTATTGATTACTTGTGTTTGAATGTTTCATATGTTATTTGATCTATTTTGTTAGCTCTTCGATGTTATGACATTTATAGTCTCTTTTCTTATACGTTTTTTAATTAGGTGTATTATCACTAAGAAACATAGAACTTTGATGTTGATCAATCTTTGTGCGCAACCCATGCATTTGATTTCACTGACAATATCGTAGGTTACTGTAGGAATTTTGATATCTGCAATGGTTGATGATGACACATTAGTGCTCCTTATCATGCTAGATAAATTTGTAACCAATTTACTTACTACAACTGAAAGAAATATCTGGTTGCTTGAGTGGCAGATTCGAGCGAGTGTCCAATCAGACTTTGTTACGTACGGCATGCGCTTACCCATTCGTCTTGAACGCGATGAATATGATTGAATGAGGACTTCATTTATGAAGTGACTTGAATTGACCATTCTTTACCAAGTCAGCGCTGCTCTATTCTTGTCCAATTTTCTCTGCTAGCGATAGGTAGACTCCGGAGGGTTGTGGGCTTGTTGTGTCTAAGTGGCGGTGACGAATCTATTTCATATCACCACTTAACCAAGTTAACTATTGGGTGGTCACAGAACAGGATAGTAGGTAGCGCAATCAATAGCACACCGTGCAAGATACTAGTAAGTTCATGTCTAGCCTTTGGGTTCCTAATTTTGTGATTAACTTGGCTATGTGCTATGCTTACGATATTGTGTTGCTATAATAGGGTTGTGGGCTTGTTATGAAGTATATAGTTCATATACGATATATGCTACGATATATTGCTATGAACTAATTAGTTCCATCAAGTGAACTTAAGAGAGTGCTCTGTTATTCAATGAGGTTTGCCAGTGATGATTGATGATGTTGAGACAATATTTTTTCATGTAAAATACACACAGATTTATCTAGGTGACGAACTTCTTACTGGAAAAATCACGAGTAGTGCGTCAGAACGTTGGTGATCGGAACTTTCACATATTTTATCAACTCTGTGCCGGTGCAGATAAGAACATAAGAAGTGGGATTTTCATAATTTTCAATTATATTCTAAATATTAGTATCGATTATAGATCAATCTTCCACTCCTCAAATTTTTTCTGGGGTATTCTCTCTATTCATGATTATCCTAAAATTGATCTGAGTTAGTTTAAAACGTGCTGATGTGTTTGTTCTATACTTAATACTGAATAGTAATTGCTACTAATTTTAATATACTTAGAGAGACTGAGATCAAGTTTATTTTTTTTGTCGTAGTCATATCAGCTCAACAATAGTTCATAGTATAATGAAAAAATAGAGTTTGAAGAAGCTTGTAGGAAAATGATCTTTGATTAGATAATGGTTTTGTATTTCAGCGACCTTAGGAATAGGCGATCTTGACTACTACAATTATCTGAATCATAGCGGAATTTACAAAGCACCTGACACCGACGATGCAAAAAATTTTCAACAAACACTGGTAAGCACGACGGATATTGAACGTCTTACCTGGAAACGGTCATATGGTCGCTACTATTTCAGCTAATCATCGTGGTAGTACAAATGTAAAATCAATAATGATTAATGTGTTATTGTTGGGAATGGCTAATCGAATGTTTCCTTAAGTAATAACTCTTCCTATTAACTAAAAGCGAGTTACACAACTAGGTTGTCTAAAGGTCAATGCTTTTCTTTCTTTATACATAAGCTAATGTAAACACTGTAGTTTTCACTTTGTTTCATTTTAATTAACAAGACATATGATGTCATTCAGCATGCGATGAAAGTGGTTGGCATCAACGAGGAAATTCAGTTAGAAATTCTGAAGCTGGTCTCAGCTGTTCTCCACGTGGGAAATATCACTTTCATGGAAGAAAATAATTTCGCAGCTGTTGAAGCACCTGATTGTTAGTATATTTTTTTTAATGAAAAAAAAAAACGTTATAGCTGGAGACTCACTAAATAGAACAACTCAGATTTATTTATCTTCGACATTGTTTTAATCATGGTGATAAGAGATTTTCAATGCGATGATGTTCTTTTTGCGACATTTTTCTTTTCAGTTCTACAGTATCCTGCATTTTTACTCGGTCTATCACCGGAATTAATTCAACAAAAACTAACAGCTCGAAAAATGGAAAGCAAGTAAGTGACATCGAATTTACCGTATTCTTTCAAATTTCAACTTGATTTTAATTTCATTTATGCTATGAACTGCAGTGCAATTTCCTATAAGTTATACATTTCACTGTTTGTGCGAACGTGTTCTCCTGTTTAAAATGACTGCCATTCTTTGGCTTAAACCAAAGACGATTGGCTACGTTATGTGTTTCGGAAGGAAATCCACACTTCTACTTTCACCGTTCATTTGAGTACTATTGAATTCTGAATATTTTATAGCGGTTCTTTTAGCTTTAGAATTTTTCGCTTAACTTATCAGCGTCGTTGTGATGCAGGAGTGATTTCAAGTAGGTTACGATACTAATATTACCTAAGAAAGACGAAAAGAAAAGTGATTTACTACAACTACGTATTACGCTTACTATCATTTAACTATTTGTGGACTGCAAATGTACTACAGATGGCATTGTTGGCCCGACGGTAGAGTGCTCGCCAACAATGCGGGCGACCTAGGCTCAATTCGTAGCCAATGCTCCGGTTTTTAGCGAAGTTCGGTCGCTTTGTGTTTGTATGGATGTATATATGTATACGTGTATGTATCTATGCACGTCATGTATGTATGTGTATGTATTGACCGTGGACTGTCAAACTGACATTTAAACCCTTATAGTAACATGAAAACAATGCGATAACTTTAATAAGATAATAACAATAATGTGATATACAAGTTTTTTTAGGAAAATGTTAAAATATAACAGAATGATCAATGATTTTTTTGTACGCGTTTTTGTCGGGTCTCTCAATGACCCCAAATAAAATCAATACGAGACGCATAGAGACGCAGACTCGATAAGAGATCAAAAAATGGTCAAGGATTTTAGTGTTTTATTAAAAATACGATGAAGCTGAGCAATAAAACTCTATGTTATTAGTGAAATTGTACAGTTGAATGTAACAGTTAGTAATGAACTCTTAATGGAGGATATTTACCATAATTAATACCAGATAATTTATCATTTAATCAATTTCTAAGGTGGGGCACAAAAACGGAACGAATCGATGTGACGTTGAATGTTGAGCAAGCGAATTACACTCGTGACGCATGGGTGAAGACGATTTACGCTCGAATATTCGACTATTTAGGTTGACATTCTTTTCATTTTATCCGTTTTACTGATCGGTTTTGTGTAAGATTCAAGTATGAACGTTACAATTACAAGTATAAACCTATAATCTTTCTATCTTTCATATTCTAAATTTTTCGTCACTTTACTTCTTCTTAACAACTTTATTTGTTGTATTGCGTCTGGTGATCTCTTTCGTATTCAAATTCTCTTAATGAGATTTTCCTATCAAACTTGAGCAACGTGATTGTTTTTCAATGAGATGTTTACTTTTCGTTTTCCACATATGAAATGATTATAAAGCATTAATTTCCAATTCATAATTTTTTAGTGACAACAGTAAACGATGCGATTCAAGTTAATGACGGTTTGGATACGAGCCTTTCAATTGGTATACTTGACATTTATGGTTTCGAAATATTTGAAAATAACGGGTTCGAACAGTTTTGGTGAGTCCAAGAAACGATTCTTCTCAATTTTTCATCTCCTTACTGAAATTTACTAGAAATTTTCGTCATGAATTAGTTTGCGAGATTTTGAAAAATTCGTCCTTGTTGAATATGTTCTATGTATTGATTCGTTTTCGTTAGCCGTCTCGTACCATATTGAGTCATAGCGCCTCAAACTGAGCTCAATAAACGTTTATCAGAAATATAAAATAATGCAAATAATACAAGGCAATATCTTCACTTTTAATATAATAAAAAAAGTCTGAAAAATCAATAAAGTACTTTCTATTGATTTTGGTTGAATTGCCTATGTTCGCATATCATTCCTGAGTGGAAGTGGAGAGTTGTGATCTGTCTAAGAACAGCAGCTGAAGTGAACAAGCGAACAATCCAACAACAAACGCCGAACAATAAGTTTTGGATGGAAGGTTTTCATCCCAGAATGCTATGATTGGTAGTGAATGGCAGGGAAGTAGCAAGAATTGCTACACTTGCAGCCGCGCATATGAAGTGAGGATAAATGACTGTGAAATGTCGGTAGTAAAGTATGATAAAAAACCGATGAACTTATTATCCCCATGTCTACTTCAGAAGGAAGCACTGATGGTGGTATCGAAATAATATCGATAATACACACAGCAATATATATGCCGTAGGCCTGAGTCGATTTTCAAATATGGACCCGATATACGGGCATAGTGAGGGATGCGTATATAAATATATGAGATGCTTTAAAACACCAGTGGCAAATCAATAAAACACTTAATGATGCCGATAATTCTACTCATATACTTGTACGCCTAGAATTCGAAGACGGCGTAAAACAAGGAACTAATGATGCAGACAATAATGTTGATAATATTGGTAACCGAAAAACTTCGGCGACTAACGAGGAGTCATTAAAACATCTCTGGCAACTTCGCCTATGCAAATCTGAATTGGGAATATGTTTTCCTTCCCTTTCAATACGTTGCCATATATATTAACAGGGGGCGCAGTGGCTCAGTGGTGGAGGTGCCGCAGTGACACGCCGGCCGATTCAGTTCGTGGCCGCCCCCCATGCCTACTAAGCCCGCCATCCCTCCGGGTTCGGTAAATTGGTACCAGAGGAGTCTGCGTAAGATAACTGGCACTGACTTGGTGAAGAGTGGTCAACTCAAATCATTGGATAGACCAGGCACGCATTCAACCACCTCCACGATATCACGTTGAACGTGAATGCGGAGGCGCATCCCACCACAAGGGATTGGTCAACGGACTTTGTGCCAACAATTATCTAATTATCTATATATTAACAACTACAACTTCTCATCTTTTTTCTCGTCTTGTACAAACAGATGATCGTCTAATACAAACAAGAGGAAATACAAGACTGACAATACACTGAAGGACAAAAAGAATCACAGAAGCCATGTTCAATTCACTAGTTCATTGCAATAATGTAAATTATTTGGGTGTAGACATTGATTTCAAACATAAGAAAACCATACCCGCAAGCCACTTCAGAAGACAAGAATCTAAAAAAGTGCACCGTCACAGAACAGGACTATAAAAACCTTCCCTCATTACATTCTTCTTTAATTTTACCTTTATAGAAAACAATAGTTGCTATAGTCGTTCTTGAAAATTCAAATAATATCACGCGACCTATAAAATGGCAAAGCAAAACGGTGAGAACAGATTGGACAACTCACACTATGACCGATTTAACACTGGTGGTTCAACACATCCTCCTACGCCCGTAAATCTAGTCCGTATTTGCAAATCAATCCACGCCCAAAGCATATATATTACTGTTGCCCACGGAACACCACTATGAATGGTACTCCCTGAAGCGGAGTTAGTGATAATAAGTCATTGATTTTCTGTCTTGCTTTATTACCGACATGGCTACGGTGGCTAACTCACACTTTGTATGCCCGGGTGGCGAGTTTAGCAAATCTTGTTATCTCCTCGCGATCCACCAAACACTCGATATAGTGATGATAACTCATCATTTACCATTCAAAGCACTCTGATTGGATAAAGGTATAGAAGATATTGTTTGATTTTTCGCTTGTTCGATTGCCCCCTTCTACTCTTCGATTGACCACCCCTCTTACTTTTGTCACTTTGGTTCGCATTCCATACTATATGTTTCCTATTATTTTTCTACTTATAATAAAGTTTAATTCTCAAATTTGAGGCATATCACGCAACTGTAGTATAAACCATATAGCTACCGAACACGAGTTAATATAAACTACCTTAAGATAGCTTAACAAACCCACATACTTCATTTCTTGCACAGCTTATACTTAATGCGCATTTTTTAACTGCCAGTTTATTTTTTTTGCAATATTCAACCAACAACAACCGTTAGGTTTTGACGCTGCATTCAAATTTTAGCTGTAGTCTTGGTCTTGGCTCGCACTCATAGATTGTCCTATTAAAAAGTTCGGAACATCATATCATATTAAATTCAAATTTCAGTATCAATTTTGTGAACGAGAAATTACAACAGATCTTCATTGAACTCACATTGAAAGCCGAACAAGAGGAATATGTACGCGAAAGAATTCGTTGGCAAGAAATCGAGTACTTCAACAACAAAGTTGTTTGCGATCTCATCGAAGCGAAAAGGCCTCCTGGTAACATTTGGTATTGTTACATTTTCTAGGAAATTCTCTCAGTCGATTAGGCACTGCTTTTTTTCTAACATTTTTTCCGATCCAAATGAAATTTAAAAACAAAATCATGTAGGTAGGGAGTTAATTTGAACTTCGTTGAGCAGGTTTTTCGCATGTTGAAGTGATGATATTAATAGACCATAGATTGAGTAACGAACAGTACTAGCATATTCATTATTTAGTAATAAGATGCGTTCTTTCAGTAGATCGGAATAGTGTAAAGACAAAACTTTCTACTTTCTCATTTTTGGCTGTAGATCATCATCGTTTTCGATATTGATTGTCTGGATGAATTATAAGAATGTAAGTATCGCAATAAAAGGTGTATTTGTAAGAATTTTGACAACGCCTAACATTAATCGATCCTTGCGGATATCTGCTTGTGGAGTAAGTACACTTCATCAGGAATGGAGTTCAATTGATAGAAGACATAATTTGTTTATAGAAAGACTCACGTTGACTATGATCTGTTAGTTTCCTGTTGTTTATACTTCCATATTATTTTGATCTATGAAGTATTTTAAATGAACGCTAAAGACAAGAATGACTTGATTTGCTGAGCATCTAACAACCGACTAACGTTACAGTATCTTCAGTCATTGAGCTACATAACGCTTGCTTTTTTTATACATGAATTTAAACCGTCTCTTTTCGTGGTTTTCATCTTTTTTATATCCGGTCATTATAACTAAATACGATTTTATTTGAGATAGAGGACACAACGATATAGCGTCGTTTCCATCGCTGTAGAGACTTTTCAGGAATAATGTGTGTTTTGGATGACGTTTGTGCTCAAAATCATGGCCAATCCGAGGGGGTCGATGCACAGTTATTAAGCAGTCTGAACAAAACTTTCTCTCATCATCCTCATTACCAATCAGGCGCTGATCGTTTTCTTATCAAGCATTATGCAGGCGACGTAAGTGATAATCAAAGCAACTGGTTACATATGTTTCTTTAGCGGTGAAAATTCTTATTTGAATAATCAAATATGAGATGTTGTTTGTGTTCTGATTTTGTGTTGTGTTGTGTTGTGTTTGTGATTGTGTTTGTTGTTTGTTAGTTATACAATTATTGTTTGTTAGTTTAACTTTATTAAACTTATTAATTTAATTATTTAATTAAATTACTTAAATTAAATTAAGTTATTAGTTAAT